TAGTTGTGCAGTGACCAATAGAAATGAAGTTCTAGGAAAAACGACTTTCTTAGAGTAAATCAAGGTGCAGAGTTCAACCTTGAGCTGTATTCGGTCCCATGTCCTATTGGTTTGGCAACGCACAATATAAATCAACATTTTAAATGGTAGATTTCACAGTATGATTTTGATATTCCGACAGTCTAGGATGATTGATTTGTATGATTCACTTTTTCAAGTACACATAACTCTCGGATTTAAATCCGAAGTTTCCGCATTTATTTAATATTCAATTAAGAATTATTTTCCGAAAGTTATATCTATAACTGTTATACTGTTATGTGTACGTTTTCAATATACAATCACTGAGAGAAAGAGAAAGAGAAAGAGAAAGAGAAAGAGAATAATGAATCAATGCATTATTGTGCTAATGCATTAAAGAATGGAGTGTTCAAATGAAGAAATTTGAACTTTCTGTATCGATTAGAAACTTCAAAAGAGCTAACAAAGCTTCAGAGTTTTAAAAAAGTGTTATCAGAAATAAGTGACCGTTGTATAAAATACCCTCGTTGTGTTCCTTGTGTAAGATATACTATATATATATATACATACAGTACAGTGTAGTGCATTCTAGTAACTCTTTGGTGGTATAAGTTAAAGATGTAGATAATTATAATAAGCATCGATTTTCTGTTGTTCACGGAAAAAGTTTTCATATCTTTAGTCTTAATCATTTTTCTTACGTTTTGTAGTTCATTTTTAGCTTGTCTTTTGTCCTTCCATTTTTTTGATGTGATACTATTTTGTGGCTACGGGTAAGTTATAATTAATTTTATTCTTGAAGATTAGTATTACTATTATTAGTTGTAATTCAGATTTCGTGCGCCTGTAACTAACGTTAGAAAACATATAATTATAGATTCAAGTTGTTTTTATCGGTATTGCTGTTATCAATTATAAGCTAGTATTTTACATTGTGGCACTATCTTAGATGGCCACTCGTATGACCATAGATAGGAAGAGAAGACCTAATTGCTTTTTCGATCATGTTGGGGGACAATGCAGTGATGAGCGATTTAGTTTCAGAGACATTCAATTGAAAAATTTTGAGAAAAAATATTTTCCAAAAGCTAGGTCGCTATTGTCTGTATTATTTTTGAAAGCAGACTTATTTTATCCATCTAAGGTTAATTTATCTTCGTCATATGTTTGCTCCATGCATTTTAATCTGTTATCCAAATCGCACCGGCCAAGCGCTGGTAAAAACTGCATAGCTTGCGAATGCTTTGGGAAAATATCTATTAAAGCAGCTACATTGGCCAATGTCACTGATACACAAGCACTAGTGCTGTACGAGAAATTCGGTATAAATAATTCTTATGGAGAACTTATTTGTACTTCTTGTCGTATTAATAAACTTCCTATTCATGTTAATCAAACTCATCAAGAAAAACATCAAAAAGCATTTGAATGGCTTCATTGTTTGGATAGTACAAATCCGTACGATGAATCTGAGAGTGAGTCCGACGAAGACTTTCAGATTGGGGGTGAGAAGTTATTGTTATTTTTTGTTATTAATAACAATAACAATACCAAAAAAAGTTATTGTTATTAATAACAAAAAAATAACAAATAACTTTTTTTTTCCGAAAAATCTTAGTTATGCTTTGTTACTATGTAAAAGTATACCAGTTCTATTTGCTCATCATTGTCCAACTGCTCGATGATGTCACTGACCGCAATCTCCATTAGATAGCCTATGAAACTGAGAAAAATCCTAAAAAGATCTTTTCAAGTATCTTGCTCACCTACAGGTAAAATTTACTAATCGGTTTACGAGGAACGATTCCTTAATCTTAGATTGCCTTTAACTTGATGTTTTGGTCAAATAAAAGTCTTTTCGAAATGAGATTCAAGGTGCCATTTTTCGAGTTATGATCTGTACAATCTTTCTAGATATTTTCTCATCTCGCAAAGGCTTATATTTGACCAACGCATCAAGTCAAAGACAAATGAGCATTGAGGAATCGTTCCTCGTAAAGCGATCAGTAAGTTTTGCCTACAGATGAGCAAGATGCTTGAAAAGATCTTTTTAGGATTTTTCTCAGTTTCATAGGCTATCTAATGGAGATTGTGGTCAGTAACATCATCGAGCAATCGGACAATAATGAGCAAATAGAACTGGTACACTGTTACATAGTAACAAAGCATAACTAAGATTTTAGGGAAAAAAAAGTTATTTGTTATTTTTTTGTTATTAATAACAAATAACTTTTTTTGTTATTGTTATTAATAACAATAACAATAAATTCACACCCCTATTTCAGACTAATCATCAAACGTTGTTTGAAAACGAAGAAGAAAAAAAAAGTGTCTTTGAGGAACGAAGAAAACTTTTGAATAATTTATTAAGTGCATGTGGAAGTAAGAAAAAGGCTAGGTTAACTTGGAATTATAGAAACATGAAAGGACAAGTAAAATCTAATTATCAATCGCATGTAAGATCAATTTTCAAAGTAATTGCTTATGTATTAGCTCCTGACGAGTTTGGTGGTGTATTTCAAGATATAGTGGATATATCACGTAGTAAAGAAAAGGTTATCATCGATGATCGCTTTGTTAAAGTCATGTCTGGAATAAAAGAGGCTTATGAAAATGCTGATGATGCAATAACCAGAAAAGAAATTTTATCTATAGTATCTCCCAAGATAACTTTTAAAATGATTCAAGGTTTTTTAACAGGAATAACATCGTATAGATTTACCGAAGCTCGTTTTCATGTTGCCAATACAGGAGTAGCGGTATTTACCGATCCACCTTCTCGAATATCTCAACGCTTCTCTTTTGATCAGATTGAACACTTCATAGACATTATTGTGAGTCCTCATGTCTGTACCGATATGCCATTCGGTGAAAATCGTCTAAAGTTATCTGATGGAACTATTTTATTTGTGCCTAATACTATTCGTAATATGGCTCCTTCGAGAATAATAAATCAATGTCATACCTTTTGTGAAGAAAATGTGCCTGGATTTTCGCCATTTAAATCCAGTTCTTTGTCTAAAATATTAGAAATTTGTAAAGCTTCATCCCGAAAGTCTTTACAATGGTTGAATTACTTTGCTGCCGATGGTGGCGAAGCTTTTGATTCGTTGACTACAATGGTTGAGAATTTGAATTTAAGCAGCGATCTAACAAAACGTTTGTGTGATAACTTAAAGAGAAGTCGCCAATATTTGAAATCCGATTTCAAAACTCATATATCGAAATGTAGTTCTATTGCTGATCATTGTGCGACATGTGAATTAAGTGATATAAAAAACAGTGACGGTAGAGAAGTTTGTGACTATTTACATGATGCTTATTGTGTCGATTGTGAAATGTTGGCTAGTACTTTAAGTGATATCGAAAGTCTCATAAAAGAGCAATCAGATAATAAGGAAGTCACTGAACGTTTTTTAACTGTATTTCATAACTATACAGATTCAATTCATAACTGGAACTGTCATCTACTTCGTTCAGTTAATCAAGATATGGCTCGAGAGTATCTTTTAAATTCATTACCAGATGACGGAGTGTTTATCTACCTTGACTGAGCAATGAAGTAGCTTCCTGCTAAATATAGGGAACCGCAATCATTTTTCTTCGGAAAAAGGGGTCTTTCGTGGCATATTGCAGTTGTCATAAAAAAATTTCAGCACCAACTTGCGGTTGTGTCTACAGAAAGCGATAGTGAGAATGAAATTTCGAACGATGAAGAAGATCCAAAACGTTCAAACTCTAATTTCATTCAAAAAGGATTTGTTCATATATTTGATAGCTGTTCTCAAGATTCTAGTACAATTTTATGCATAATAGAAAATTTGTTGAAAGAAATTCATACATCAGATCCAGCTATTACAAATACGTTTCTTCGAAGCGACAATGCTGGCTGTTATCACAGTGCAGAAACTTTGCTTTCATTGTCATATATGCAGAAAAGGACTGGAATTATAGGCCAACGTGTCGACTTTTCTGATCCACAAGGTGGTAAATCGCCTTGTGATAGATTTGTTGCTGTGTTAAAGTCACATATTAGAAGATACCTCAATGAGAAAAATGATGTAACTAATGTTTCCGAATTCGTTAATGCGTGCCGCTCACACGGAGGAATTCTTGGAGTAAAAATCTCTGAATGTTGCCTGATTCAAGAAACGAACTCCTCTGTTCAATTCAAATTTTCTGGTATAACGAGCTATAATAATTTTAAGTTTGAACAAAATCGTATATTAGCGCATCCTGCTTGGACTGTAGGTTCTGGTAAATTGTTTTCGTTGGAACAGCTTACGTTTGGTGAAAAGAACAATAAATTAGACTTTGAGCAACAGCCCAGCCTTATCTATGAGTGGTCAAAAAAGAAAGAATACTCATCAAAACCAACAAAAGCAACAAATACGATACAATCTAAAGAGAAAAAACCTAAGTTAAAATCTTCAACCACATTATTTGAATGTATTGAGGAAGGATGTGTAAAGAAATTTTTTAAATATAGTAATCTAGTTACTCAGCTTGCTACTGGTAATCATGTGTGCAAACCCGAAAGACTTTATTTGAAAGACACTGCAATGCAATTATACCAGTCTAAACTAGAACGTATTGGTAATCAAGAAATGATTTCTTTGATGCTTGATATCTCTAACATTGAAAATATGTTAAAACTTAAACCAAAATTTGAAACAACTCTAAAAGAAGGCTGGGCACTACTTAAAGAAAGAAAAAACATACGATTAACTGAAAAACGAACTAAATTCTTGTTAGAAAAATTTGATGAAGGAATTCAAACATCCATCCGATGGAAACCTGAAGTGCTCGTCGTAAAAATGCACGAGCTCAAAGTAAATGGAAAGTTTTACTTTACAGTTTCTGAATTTTTAACAGCTAGTCAAACCAGATCTTTTTTTTCGCTTGAAAAAGCAAAGCGTCAGAAGGTAAAAGTGAAAGAGAACAGTACAATATATCAAGAAGATGAATTTTTTCACGATGATTTAGCGTTAAAAGAGATTTCAGATTGAGAAGCTCTACGACAACGCTGTGAAAAAGTATTTGATGTTTATGAGAACGCCGAAAACAGTGTCCAATTAACAAAAGGCGTTAAACATTCTACTTCTCATAATGATGTATTAGTTAGCAAGCGTTCTTCTTTCAGAAAAAGTAAACCAAAAAAATAAATAAAATTTTGAGTAGTAGCTGCTTAGAATGGACTATCATCAATCGTGGTAACCGTCTGATGAGCCCGACTTTCCATCAGGGCCGATTCATCGTACCATCGATGATCGAAGCCAATTCTATTCATGTTACTACACAAAACTCATAACGATGCACCTTCACGCATCCAACGTTTTCAGTCATCATAGTTTTAGTTTCTCCGATTTCTTGTCATACTTTCTCGTTTTATTTCTGTTTTTCTCTTGTACAACATATGAACTAATGAAAATAATTAAAAAAAAGCAAAAAAAAAAAACGGTTCTCTCAACTTTGATCGAAATTAAAATGTCGACAAGAAAAATGTCGAAACGGGGTGAAGCACCACCTGCGATGATATTTTGATTTTTCGACATTTTTCTATAGATCACAGTTAAGAGAACCAAAAATCCTTTTCTTTAAGGATGGCCGTCACGTGGCGAAAACGGAACAACACTTTTGAGTGTCTTGGTTAAAGAATGTTAGTACTTTTGAACTTATCTTTCTTCATAAGAGATTAAAAAGTGGCTAACAATCCTTTAATAAGCACATTTCTTTTCCAGATTATATTTCTGATACAAAAAGTCAAGATTTTCGAAAAAAAACTCATTTTTACATGAAATTTCGCTAGAATATCACTTCGACCAATCCCGACAAATGCACTATCAGGGATAGATTTTTTCGCTAATTACGATGTAACATATTTTATCTGTTAAAGAAAATGACATTTGACTTCGAAAAACTGGCATTTTTTGGAAAATCAAAAAATGTTAAAGTTACTAGTCGCTATATTGATACCAAAATATCTGACGCTGTTTCCCATTCCTAACATCGAAATAAAATTCCTCTTGTGGAGAATTAAATGCTGTATCAGATCAAGTAGTCAAATTTTTTGTTAACTTAAAAGCCACAATAAATAAGAAAAAGTACTAACAAATTTCTAAAAAAAATATTTGTCTTTCTTGAAAAAAAATTTTTTCCAAAAAATATCCAAACACTGTAACGAAAGAAAATATACTAATAGATGCAACAACTGTACACGCGCTTTCGAATGAGACGTTCCTCAGCATTGTACGACATAATTTGGCTCCAGAAAGTCAAAATTACTGAAAATTCGCTTTTTTTCACGTTTTGTGAGGGTATTGATATTGAAATGCTTGTAGCTGCGTAAGAAAACGGCATAGAAGTCTAAAAAAATTTCATCATCTTAGTTGTTCACGCAGAGTCGAATGATATATAAAACAAGGGCATGTTAAAAATTTTCATCTTATGACGATTCTCGAAGTCCTGGTGGAACGTCTGTTAAGTATAAATAAGAGAACAATTCACACCATTTTAAAGCAACGTGTATGTGAAAATTGAAGCATACGATATTTAGTTTCAAGGTATATATTTTGTTTTTGCTGTCAAATATTGTTATTTTTTTGTTTGTTTATTACTTACCAATAAACTAAACGAAATCAGGGCATAAATTATATGTTGAACGAAACATGCTTGTCTACTTGCCGCATTCAAATCCACTTTCTGATTTTTTTTGTGATTTTAATGGGGAAATTTTCTGATCATTTTCTGATTTTGAATTTTTTCATCTGGCCACCCTGCTGTACTTATATCCTTACACTGAAGTCTATACCCACACTCTTATCCCTAAACATAAACTTAAACCTATGCCCTTATCCCTATATCTTAAACCTATAGCTCAATATTATACCTATATCTATATCCTTAAAACTACATTCGTATCCCTATACTCCAGAATCCATAGCCCTATGGCTATACTCCACTACCTATATTCGTGTGTCAATAGCTAAATCCATATCTTTATCCCTATTCCTCAATCCTATACCATTCAGCTATTCTCCCATACATGTCCTCTTATATCTCTTCTTCGTCAACTATAGCCTCAAAGCTTCATCTTTATCTCTGCACTTATATTCTTACTGATACCTCTCTTATCTATACATTGAAAAAAATAGGTATCAAAGGAAACTTTAAAAGGTGTGGGTGTTGATGTGAGTGTTGATATAGTATTCACCCAAACCCGACATCCACCCTCCCACATCCCACACCGACCCCTAACCGATACCCGCACTCCACACTCACACGCAACACGCACACGTTCTCACTTGAAACGAGCCAACAATTTGATATAAGAATGATCCAAACGAAATTCCTTGGGAAGGAAGGCACTTTTTGAAAGCGTTGACACAATAATATGTTAAGCAATCTCGTTTTCTTGATAAAATGATGTATGTTCTAAAGAGAAAGAATATTATGTCTGTAGGAATTTTGCTGTCTTATTTTATTATGAAGACAACAAAAAAATGGTTCTTTTCATTTCTTTCTTTGCTTAATATACATGCAGCTTTGCATATCTTGAAGACAGGAAAAATGACTATTCATCAAGGATGGCTTCTCATTTAAGTAGTTATTGAAGATTATTGTATTACAAGAAAACATGTTGAGGAAATTGACAGCTGATTGAAGTATTTTTCATCATTACAGTAAACTTGACTGAATTTTGTAGGATAACAGAACTAATGTCGGATTTTTTTAAAAGTACCAACGGCTATTTTTTGAATAACTTTTCAACGGTAAAGTTATAGAGGTGGGATTTTCACCGTTAGAAAAAGCAAGGCGGGGGATGTCGATCTGTATATAATTCATTAGGTTTATGAGTCTTTTCTATGGTTGTTTGGAGTTAAATATCTTATAGGTTGTCTATTTTCATGAGTTTTCATGACAAGTTGACATCTAATTACACCAAAATGTAGCCCAAATCGTCCTGTATTTGTGCTAAAATTTTTACATTTTAACATCAAAGCGTAAGGAAATAAAATCAAGAATAAGACGCAAAGATTTGAAAATTTTAGCACAAATACAGGACGATTTGGGCTACATTTTGGTGTAATTAGATGTCAACTTGTCATGAAAACTCATGAAAATAGACAACCTATAAGATATTTAACTTCAAACAACCATAGAAAAGACTCATAAACCTAATGAATTATATACAGATCGACGTCCCCCGCCTTGCTCTTTCTAACGGTGAAAATCCCACCTCTATAACTTGAACCGTTGAAAAGTTATTCAAAAAATAGTCGTTGGTACTTTTAAAAAAATCCGACATTAGAGTTGATGGATATCTCATGAAATTCCAGGGAGTGAGTGTGGTATGTGAGTCTCGGTGTGGGTGTGCTTCCTCGCTTAACCTCCACATCCACATACCCTCACTCCCACCCAAAATCATACCCATAGTGTATACCTTCAATATACTTCTTATCAATTTTTTCTTCATCGACATTGTTAATAAATGTTTTATCAGCTTCAAGTATTTTACAACACTGAAACGTTGAGGTATACTTGGAGATTTCCAACGGTTGTTTGTCTTTGATGCATATAGGTGCGTAACAGTAATTCTCTTTTTCGAAATTTCCAGACTCACTAGCAATACGTCGATTAATCATTAGAAGAACTATGTGTAAAATGATTCAATTAGCAAAAATTGATTTTTTCTTCATGAAAATCGTCTTTCACCTGTCTGAGATACCCTTTTGATTATACAATAAAAATACAGTGGTTTGTAAAAAAACATTTCGGCTCGTATTTTCTACTACTATTCACATAGACTTCCCTCATTTTTGCTACCTTTAATGTGGATCGATAACTGGCAAAGAGCGCTGTACAGTTATATTTTTCAATATTTTGTTAATTCGCCTTCTGAAAAAAAATACAGAATGTAATTCTATCTATCGAAAGTCACAAAAACAATTGCACGATGGAATAAAAGCTATCGGATAAATCTTTACTACCCCGTATGATAATTGTAGATTAGTGTCAAGTCGCAGAAACAATGGTGAAACCTCGAAATAAACAAAACATTTCAAAGCGCATACAAAAATGGTTTAAAAACTTCTTAATCCGGTAAAAAACTGATAACCCTTGTATTTCTTTAGAAAATTGAGGAAGATGTCGAAAACTGTCGTTTATATATTGAGAAATGCTGATTGAACATTCATTTCAACAAGTCTGGATTGAGATGTATGAAAAAGAAACGCAAAATAAAGTCCTGAAAAACTATAAATTCTTTTTGACTTCTAAAAGTTAGAATCATGTTCTGTATCTTCCTTCACAAGATAAATTTAAAAAATATAAAAATCTATTACTATATATTGTTCTGCGTATGTTATTGATTCATGCTAAAAGTAGCAAAAATAAAATAATTTTGTCTGAGTAGTAGTGAAAAGTACGAGGCTAATATTTTTGAAAACCGGTGTACTTTCATTCAAAACAGATCATTAATGTTTGCTATTTTTTTACATTGAGCACAGCAGATCTATACACTCTGTATTAATACGATTGAAATGTGTTACAGCTGTACTTTGTCATGATAAACATACGGTGCGTTTGTATGAATATATCGGCTTCAGGTTCGATTTCTTTGAATGTTTATTATTTTTTATTTTGTCAAAATGCAGTAGTATTCAGCTTTCCAAAGAAGAACATCTGCCTCATAAGTGATCAAATTTTGGAAAGTGTTTCCACAGAAAAGCTGTATCAGCAAGGGTGGGGTGTGGATATGGTGTGAACTTTTCTTCTATGACATCTACACCAACGGGTTTTGATTTTCTCTATTAGCTAATTCTTTAAAAATCATACTGATTCACTTTCGCTTGAGCCAATAATTTTCACTTTTTGGAAATCGGATATTCTTTCATAAGAATGTCAAAACTAGAAGAAAAACAAGATTATTCATCAAACCCAGGGCAAATTAAACAGATATTTATAGGATCAGGAAATCAGAAAAATCATGACCACTGCGATGTATGTTCACGTCATAAAAAAAAGATTTGTTGTGGCTAACACAACACAGTTAACTCTAATGTAAACTATAAAAACACCTGAACAGCATGGTTATTTATAAAAGAATGTTGGTGTGGCTAAGCTACTTTTCTTCATACTTACACTAGCACCCAAAACTTCATCACAAATCTATACTTCAAATGTACCTCGCTGACGCACTCAAACTCATATATATACATCGACACACTTCGTATCAATTCTTTTTTATTCGATGTTGTCAATAAATTATCAGTTTTAAGTATTTTTACAACGGTTGAACATTAAAATATACTAGAAAATTTCCAACAATTGTTTTTTTCTTTAATAGTAGAAACCATACAAGAGTAATTCTGTTTCTTGAATTGTCGGACTAACTAGTAACGCATCGATTAATCATTAGAAGATGGTTTGTGCAAAATGATTGAGTTTGCTAAAAAATATTGTTTCTTCATCGAAGTCATCTTTCATGTACTTAAGATACAACATTACCTATGAAATAAGAATACATCTACTCAAAACAGATAATTCACGATTACTATTTTTTTCATTGCACACAGTAGGTTTGTTTGCTTCTTTACAATCGAACTATATTGCAGCTCTGTATTGTCATGAGAAATATACGATATTCTTGCCATATTACATTGAGGTCAGCTTCGATATATTTTAATCTTTCGTAGTTTTCGTTCTGCCAAAGCCATGACATCTCTGGTAGATATGACTTTGCACTAAGGCAGATCACTGCATCATCAAAGTATTTTAATGAATGCACACCATTTTTTTGTCTTTATTACGATAAATTATTGTATTATTGTGTTCTCTCTGTTGAACGATAATTTTCATATGATATAGTCAAACTCATGAATTCATAGTAAAAACAGACGACATTTTTTTCGTAGATCATTTAACCTGACTCTAGAATATATAAGATGCTATAATTATTTTTTGAATTCTTACACGCTATTCAAAGTAAAAATCTTTTTATAAACCAACCAGACTTAAGTTGAATAAAGAAAAGCAAAGACATTTAATCAGTAGCTTTTGACATTAATTTGTTTTTCCGTACATTTCTTAGATTAATTACTCATAAATATGAAACAAATCTCGTTTTATTTCAAGATAATAATTCACGATTATTCGATTATATATCGTCTATAAGTTGAATTAATTTCATAGAAAATAGTTGTGCCGGACACATATATTTGAAATGACAGAGGACGTGCTCTATGCAGATTTGTTAAACGTTTAATCAGCATAAATAAGAGTGTTGGAGACGGGCCTGTACAAGTCTTTGTAAACTTTCACAAATCAGACAAATTTTTAATCTAAAATCTATAAAATTTGAATTATTTTTTCTTTTCTACTAGTTATTTTTATAAATATTTGAGTGACGTTATAATTTAAATGAATATGAGTGATAATAGTCCACAATGGAAAACTTCAATAAAAGCATCGAATATATCGAACCCTTCATCTAATCAAGGCTCGCAAGTAGAATCTTCAAACAAACAACATTCTCCTCCTACAGCTTCCTCAAATAAAGATATACTTGTTTATATACCTGATATCCCAACAAACATACTAGAAAATGAACTTAGAGAAATGATTCAAACTCGTCTCGATAAGATTCAAGCTATGAAAATAAGTGATATAAAATGTTATTTAACTCTGGATGTTGCTGTGATTCGACTAACTAGTGAAGAGGACAAATCACATCTCGTCTCTAATGTTCAATCGATCGTTCTCGACGTGAAACAAAATATAAATATATTATTTGCCGGTGAGCTTGATCTTGATTCTTATATAGTACTCGACCAAAATTCGTCTGAAATTACTTCTGCTGATGAAGTGGCTCGTCGCTATATGCAACTATACAAAACAACAAAACTTCGTCTATGTCAACCAATTTCTGTTCACTTTCAAATATTTTTCGTATCTCTTTCGATACCTTCGATGAAGTTATTAAAATAGTTAATGCGCCAGATTTTAAAATCGGAAATGCCTTTGCTACTGTTTATTTGCGTGCTGATTGCAGCTTTCTTGAAGATTTGCCACCAAATACTAATGATGACAAGATTTCATCAGCGATTGCTATTCAAGTTGAAGAAAATAAACTTCAACCTACATCTTTTTACGTGCAGTATAATAAAGACACAGGTAATGCAGTTGTCTTGGCAACAAGGTCTAATAAGAAATGGACTGCAGACAGTTTCTTAATAATTGATGGAGGAAAAGTGCCAAAAAAACCAAAACTTGCGTATCGTATTCTTATATCTCCTGTGCCCTAGTGGTTTTGATCTCAATCTAATTCTTAATCACAAATTATTCAGAAATCGAGTTGTTAGACATGATCATGTTAATGATCATCTCATTGTAGAACTCGATGACATGAATAATTATGAGAATTGTTTATCGAGTGGAGCACTTCTCATTGACAATCATATGATGCAAGTTGCAGTTCATACAACGATTGCTAATCCAGAAGAAAATGAAATTACTGCTGAAAACTGGTATGAAACAGAGATGCTTGATATAAAACCAGATATAATGACAATGATAAATAATCCTCAACATCTAATATTTCGTTATAAATGGAATGCACAAATTTGGATTGAACAAATGAAAAAAAATAGAAGTGAAAGATTGACGATCAACAAAATATGATCTTAAGCAGCATTTATTACGAGTAACAGTTATGTTAAACACAGTAGGTGTTAATCGAAAGAAAAAATATGTAATCGATGGTGAAGGAGTGATTTTAAAATTGCAACCTATGAGAACAATCGAATACGATCACAAAGCAAAACTATCATACGGAAAAACAATTGCTCAAAAAGATGCAAAAACATCATATCCATTAACAAAGGTTTTGTACTTAATGAAGATTGTCTTGTTCTTTATGAGAAATTAGTCTCCGAAGGATATCGACTATTATTACTGAATATGGCAAGTACAACTAGTCCTGGAGGTGGATATCGGAAAGGTAATGGAGCATAAGAAGAAAATTTATTTCGTCGATCAACTTATTATCATAGTCTTGATGTAGAGATTGCTGATAAGGAACGATCGGAACAATTTTATTGCACAGCAAAATGTGAACTCAAACTACTAACAGGTTATGGTGGATTTTGTTCAATGGAGGAATTTGGAGCTATTTATACATCTGGTATTTCTGTTTTTCGGGAAACAGAAATAAATGGATATATGCTTATATGAAAAATCCTTTATATAATGTCGATGCTATTGCTATGGCTGCATATAGAGATCCAGAATTAGCTCAGAATAATATGCTAGAAAATAAATTTGCAATCAATACACATAGAAAAATAGAAAATATTTTTGCCATTGCCTATCATCATAAACATGATTATCTAGTATTATCAGCTCTTGGTTGTGGTGCTTTCAAAACTCCACCTGAACATATTGCATTACTTTTTAAATCTATTATTTATCAATATGCTGGATTTTTTAAGAACATTTATTTTGCGATTGTTGATGATCATAATGCAGGAAAACAATTTAATCCAGATGGAAATTTTCTTCCATTTAAAAAAATACTTGATGATCTAACTGTTCAACCACCAACAACAATACGTGTCAATGGAGTTAGCGGACCAAATCGTATTCTCAATCAAACAGCAGATGATAAATTAACTCTAAGTGACGTATGTATTTCATATCTTTCATCATGTCCACATGGATCAAAATGTCGTGAACTTAAAAATTCTCAACATAATAACAACTTTTTGCATCCACCAATGTGTTTATATCAAAGTGCAACATCATCATGTGATCAAATGAATGATGAAGTGCATATACTTACATTTATACATAATATCAAATGTAAATATGGTGGTCAATGTAATGATACAGATCCAAACCATATCAGTGAATATGATCACCCAGTTTATTGTGAAAATAAAGGCAAATGTCAAAATATTCATGCACAACATTCATTGGATTATCGACATTTACAACTTTGCGAGGATGGACTTGATTGCTCGAAGTATTTCAAGAGAGAAGATGATCATTGTAACTTCTATCGTCATTGCAAATCTATTTGTCTTTATGATAATTGTTGTGTTCAATTTCATGATAAAAAACATTTTGAAAATACAATACATTCATTTCGAATACCATGCTCATTTACACCATATAATTGTTCAATCAATGTTGAATATATTCAAAATGGAAATATAAGTAAAATACTACCTGAAGTAGAAAATCATTGTCTTAAATATTTACTTGTTTGTTCGTCTGGTCGTCAATGCAAAAATAAAGAAGAAGGACATTTTGAAACATCACTTCATATTGCTCGTAAACCTTGTTCTGCTAGTGATAAATGTTCACAATTTACTGACGAAGAACATTTAGAATCGTTTTCTCATCCAAATATACGTGATATTCGTCTATTTTGTCGAGAACCACGCTTTGAATGTTGAGAAAGATCTTTAGATCAACATTTGAAAAAATATCGACATGGAAAAATCACAATCATCTTAGTGCTGTTCAATCAGCTAATCTTAATTCATCTATTAATTTTGTTCATAATCAAAGTCAATTAATCCGAACTGTGAATAATTAAACTGATGCATCAAATTGGAAAAAAGCAAAAATTTCTTCTGCAATACTCAATTGGATACGAGCATTACAACTTGTACATCGATGTGCACCACATATTTTCGAATCAGTTCTTGTTCATGGTTATGTTATGAGTCGACATTACATGAATTTATTAAAACAATCAAAATATGTTGTAAAAGCAGTGAAACAACATAGTCGAATACGTGTAATTTTTCTTCAGCACAACATTCCTTCACTAAAAGACGGTATATTCAACCTTATAACAGTTTTAGTGAAAGCTGAATTTGCAAAAAACTCATCTGGTGGAGCACTTCCATCAGATGCCGATCATGACTATAGTATTAAATTAATTCAGAGAAAACTAAAACCACCTTTAAATGATAATGATATTAACGCTATTCATTATTGGGCAAAGAAAATTGCTCAGGTGTCAATAAAATTGCATGAAAATCCGATGTGAATCGGATATGAAGTTGATCAAACTTTAGGAACAGATAAACATGTTTTTAGCATTTTAGGACCTCATTTAGGACATTATTATAGTAAATATTATTATTGTCTTTAACCATTTGGCTCCCGCCTATTTTTGCGCAGATCAAAGTTTTTAAAATTAATCTTTAAATATGATTTATTGATTTCTTTCTTGGTTTAATGTCGTTTTCTCAGAGTGGTCATAATAGGAATGCATGAGGCTGATTGTTGAAATCAATGGCTATTATTCAACGAA